GTTAACACTAGGCCAAGAAGACTATCCGGCCTAACAATGTTATCTCAGGAGATTCATCGAAACCCAGTTTCTCTTCGTATAAACAAAGTTAATATGGGAAAATAAGAGCTTACCCCCAAGTAAGGTGCCCACTATCGACATTACTCCGGAGGTCGCGAGAAAAATTCCAAGTCCAGCAGGCCAGAGAGAGTGTCCCAAGATGTCGACTAGCAACAACGGATAGAGAATGTATGAACCACCTACAGTGAGACCAAACATAATGCAGCTAAATATAAGAAAGCCTGCCACGCGTGAATAGGTAGCATCATCCATAGGTGACTCAAAGTACAAGGGCAAAAACGCGATCGACGTAGTACTTGCGCAGTTGATGAATACATTGAGAGAGTAGAGCATCCAATGGCGTCTCAGCATGGATAGATAAAAATGACGGTAAATGGGATGCTGCTGACTGGGGGTAGGAGACGCCTTGAATTGGATGTCAGTGGATTCAGCCGAGCTAGGGAAATCAAGGACGTGGTTCCGTTTTAATTTACGCCGTTTAGCTAAAGAGTCCATGGCGTAGGCAGTTGTTCCATAGAATACCATTCCTATTGAATAGTAGAAGTGAAAGAAGTCATAATTTAAGAAAATAAACGAAAGAAAACGTACAGGATATTTAAAGAAAGAAGAGATTAATCAAATTTGATTAAAGCACGAAATTATTCTAAAATGATGAAGTAAATAAAATAAAGCAAATGCAGAAAAATGAAGCATTCCACAAGACGAATCTTAGAGTCTAGGTCAGAAAGGGAAATAAAGTAGTTAATCTGTCTTCCGGTCCTCCTGAATTCGATTCAACAGTTATCCACAATACGGGATCCTTTTATTCCAAAAGGAATTAAAAGAAGGCAATCAAGGTCATTTTAGTGGAGGTAATAAATACCCCTGAAAAGCTACCTGAAAAATAAAAAAGAAAGCTGGAAATGGAAATCATCCCCAAAATCTTAACGCATCGAGAATCCACACATAGCGCCAATATAACCAAGGTATATAAAGAATTCAAAAGAAACTATAAAATAGTTCTATAAGCCTGCGAATAAGGTGCGACAGTGGTGATAGGAAGGAAGGAAAATGAAAAATATTCTCAGAGACTACTAACAAAAGACCCAAAAGTTAAAATCAGAGGTGCACTGCAAGAAATGCTGAAGGAGATAAATAGGAACGGGGAAATCGAGAAATGGACAATGAACTCACTCATACTAAAGGATGCAAGAGCCCAATTAGCATACAGTTTGCCGAAAGTACATGAAGAAGGAGAACCATTGAGACTGGCAATCAACAGCAAGCATGGACCGACGCATAAATTGGTAAAATTTAACTGCCTCAAATTACACAAAGTAAATGAGAGATTATCGGATACAGCAAAGAAATCATAAGAATTTTGCCAGTCAAAGATGTCAGTTTGGAAAGAAACGAACTTTTGATGGGCTTTAATATACTGTCTATGTACAATAACATCACAGGATAAAAAGCACTTCCCGCACTACTGGAGATCTTTGAAAAAGAAAATGGCCTCCTGGAGACAGAGCAAATGCGTAGAGTCCCTAACACAATTAATCAACCTAACAATAAGAACGCCCTATTTCACGTTCAAAGGCTGCATCTATGAGCAAATAATTGGTCTGCCTAAGGGCTCAAAAATCTCACCTCTGTTGGCTAATGCCTTTATGGACACGTTTGAGGATAAGTTAACAGTGTTACCTCAGTGGGCAACCGTAATTATGCGATATTTGGATGATTAATTCGTAATTTGATTGCAGGGAAGAG